CTAACCTTACTGGAAAACTACAATGGCAGTAAAGACTGAGATATCCATTCCAACCCCCTAACAACCCCCAAACCCAATACACCTACCTTGATGAAAATCTTGATGAAAATAAGGACATTTAACCAAAACCTAAACTATCACTAGTAGGACCCCCACTCCCTTTTAACCAATAAAAGGGGAGAGAAACGGGAAGAGATACATCAAATAAACTCTTAACTAACCTTACAGGAAAACTACAATGCCTGAAAAGACAGAGTTAATCCATCCCCACCCCCCTAAGACCCCCAACCCAAATACACCTATCTTGATGAAAATAAGGACATTTAACCCAAAACCTAATATCACCACCCCCACCTCCCTCGGACCCCCCAACCCCAATACACCTATCTTGATGAAAATAAACACATTTAACCCAAAACCTAATATCACGGAGAGTAGGACCCCCGGCCCCTTTTAACCAATACAAAGGGAGAGAAGTGGGAAGAGAGGGGACAACCAAATAAAGGACACCCTTTTAACCACTATTAATAGGGGATATACAAGGAAATACATCAAATCAACTAGAATCTACCCCGCGCAAGACCCCCACAACCAGTCAATGAAATGACTTTAACACAAATAGGACATTTCTAGAAAGCTGACTTTGTGATCGAAAAAGCACACACCGACTTCAAAACCAGCCTTCTAGAAAATACAGGGCTTAAACTGAACCTAACACCTGCAACCAATGGGGACAGGAACAATAACCCAAAGGACAGACATACTCCCTAACCTCCATCCCTCATAAACATACATGGGTGATGGGAATAAGAAGAAATGGAGCCAAAACCTCTAACACTTAACCTAAAACCTACTCTATCACCTAGAAGGACCCCCTCCCCCCCATCCTTTTAACCATAATTAAAGGGACAATACAACGACCAAATACATGAAATAATCTCCCAAACTAATTAACCCCATCGATGACAAATGGCAGAAAGGACAAAGATCCTACATCCAACCCCAGGACCCCCTCCCTCGACAAGACACCTTAGATGATAGGAATAAGGGAAAAGGGTGTAACAATCTCTAACATTTAACCCAAAACCTAACTAACTTATCCCCTAACAAGACCCAAAACCCTGTTAACCATTAATAATGGGCAGATACAACAACTAAATATATGAAATAAACTAAAAATCTAATTAAACCCACAAAATGACCAACCCCAGAAAGGACAAAGATCCTACACCCAACCCAAGGAACCCCTCCCTCTACAAGACATCTAAGAAGATAGGAATAAGGGAAAATGGTGTAACAAACTTTAATATTTAACCAAACCCTAACTAATTAATCCCCTTACAAGACCCAAAACCCTGTTAACCATTAATAATGGGCAGATAAATCAACCAAATACATCAAATAAACTCTAAACTAACCTTACTGGAAAACTACAATGGCAGTAAAGACTGAGATATCCATTCCAACCCCCTAAGAACCCCCAAACCCAATACACCTACCTTGATGAAAATCTTGATGAAAATAAGGACATTTAACCAAAAACCTAAACTATCACTAGTAGGACCCCCACTCCCTTTTAACCAATAAAAGGGGAGAGAAACGGGAAGAGATACATCAAATAAACTCTTAACTAACCTTACAGGAAAACTACAATGCCTGAAAAGACAGAGTTAATCCATCCCCACCCCCCTAAGACCCCCAACCCAAATACACCTATCTTGATGAAAATAAGGACATTTAACCCAAAACCTAATATCACCACCCCCACCTCCCTCGGACCCCCCAACCCCAATACACCTATCTTGATGAAAATAAACACATTTAACCCAAAACCTAATATCACGGAGAGTAGGACCCCCGGCCCCTTTTAACCAATACAAAGGGAGAGAAGTGGGAAGAGAGGGGACAACCAAATAAAGGACACCCTTTTAACCACTATTAATAGGGGATATACAAGGAAATACATCAAATCAACTAGAATCTACCCCGCGCAAGACCCCCACAACCAGTCAATGAAATGACTTTAACACAAATAGGACATTTCTAGAAAGCTGACTTTGTGATCGAAAAAGCACACACCGACTTCAAAACCAGCCTTCTAGAAAATACAGGGCTTAAACTGAACCTAACACCTGCAACCAATGGGGACAGGAACAATAACCCAAAGGACAGACATACTCCCTAACCTCCATCCCTCATAAACATACATGGGTGATAGGAATAAGAAGAAATGGAGCCAAAACCTCTAACACTTAACCTAAAACCTACTCTATCACCTAGAAGGACCCCCTCCCCCCCATCCTTTTAACCATAATTAAAGGGACAATACAACGACCAAATACATGAAATAATCTCCCAAACTAATTAACCCCATCGATGACAAATGGCAGAAAGGACAAAGATCCTACATCCAACCCCAGGACCCCCTCCCTCGACAAGACACCTTAGATGATAGGAATAAGGGAAAAGGGTGTAACAATCTCTAACATTTAACCCAAAACCTAACTAACTTATCCCCTAACAAGACCCAAAACCCTGTTAACCATTAATAATGGGCAGATACAACAACTGAATATATGAAATAAACTAAAAATCTAATTAAACCCACAAAATGACCAACCCCAGAAAGGACAAAGATCCTACACCCAACCCAAGGAACCCCTCCCTCTACAAGACATCTAAGAAGATAGGAATAAGGGAAAATGGTGTAACAAACTTTAATATTTAACCAAACCCTAACTAATTAATCCCCTTACAAGACCCAAAACCCTGTTAACCATTAATAATGGGCAGATAAATCAACCAAATACATCAAATAAACTCTAAACTAACCTTACTGGAAAACTACAATGGCAGTAAAGACTGAGATATCCATTCCAACCCCCTAACAACCCCCAAACCCAATACACCTACCTTGATGAAAATCTTGATGAAAATAAGGACATTTAACCAAAAACCTAAACTATCACTAGTAGGACCCCCACTCCCTTTTAACCAATAAAAGGGGAGAGAAACGGGAAGAGATACATCAAATAAACTCTTAACTAACCTTACAGGAAAACTACAATGCCTGAAAAGACAGAGTTAATCCATCCCCACCCCCCTAAGACCCCCAACCCAAATACACCTATCTTGATGAAAATAAGGACATTTAACCCAAAACCTAATATCACCACCCCCACCTCCCTCGGACCCCCCAACCCCAATACACCTATCTTGATGAAAATAAACACATTTAACCCAAAACCTAATATCACGGAGAGTAGGACCCCCGGCCCCTTTTAACCAATACAAAGGGAGAGAAGTGGGAAGAGAGGGGACAACCAAATAAAGGACACCCTTTTAACCACTATTAATAGGGGATATACAAGGAAATACATCAAATCAACTAGAATCTACCCCGCGCAAGACCCCCACAACCAGTCAATGAAATGACTTTAACACAAATAGGACATTTCTAGAAAGCTGACTTTGTGATCGAAAAAGCACACACCGACTTCAAAACCAGCCTTCTAGAAAATACAGGGCTTAAACTGAACCTAACACCTGCAACCAATGGGGACAGGAACAATAACCCAAAGGACAGACATACTCCCTAACCTCCATCCCTCATAAACATACATGGGTGATGGGAATAAGAAGAAATGGAGCCAAAACCTCTAACACTTAACCTAAAACCTACTCTATCACCTAGAAGGACCCCCTCCCCCCCCCATCCTTTTAACCATAATTAAAGGGACAATACAACGACCAAATACATGAAATAATCTCCCAAACTAATTAACCCCATCGATGACAAATGGCAGAAAGGACAAAGATCCTACATCCAACCCCAGGACCCCCTCCCTCGACAAGACACCTTAGATGATAGGAATAAGGGAAAAGGGTGTAACAATCTCTAACATTTAACCCAAAACCTAACTAACTTATCCCCTAACAAGACCCAAAACCCTGTTAACCATTAATAATGGGCAGATACAACAACTAAATATATGAAATAAACTAAAAATCTAATTAAACCCACAAAATGACCAACCCCAGAAAGGACAAAGATCCTACACCCAACCCAAGGAACCCCTCCCTCTACAAGACATCTAAGAAGATAGGAATAAGGGAAAATGGTGTAACAAACTTTAATATTTAACCAAACCCTAACTAATTAATCCCCTTACAAGACCCAAAACCCTGTTAACCATTAATAATGGGCAGATAAATCAACCAAATACATCAAATAAACTCTAAACTAACCTTACTGGAAAACTACAATGGCAGTAAAGACTGAGATATCCATTCCAACCCCCTAACAACCCCCAAACCCAATACACCTACCTTGATGAAAATCTTGATGAAAATAAGGACATTTAACCAAAAACCTAAACTATCACTAGTAGGACCCCCACTCCCTTTTAACCAATAAAAGGGGAGAGAAACGGGAAGAGATACATCAAATAAACTCTTAACTAACCTTACAGGAAAACTACAATGCCTGAAAAGACAGAGTTAATCCATCCCCACCCCCCTAAGATCCCCAACCCAAATACACCTATCTTGATGAAAATAAGGACATTTAACCCAAAACCTAATATCACCACCCCCACCTCCCTCGGACCCCCCAACCCCAATACACCTATCTTGATGAAAATAAACACATTTAACCCAAAACCTAATATCACGGAGAGTAGGACCCCCAGCCCCTTTTAACCAATACAAAGGGAGAGAAGTGGGAAGAGAGGGGACAACCAAATAAAGGACACCCTTTTAACCACTATTAATAGGGGACATACAAGGAAATACATCAAATCAACTAGAATCTACACCCCACAAGACCCCCACAACCAGTCAATGAAATGACTTAAACACAAATAGGGGATAAGCTATTCTAGAAAGCCGACTTTGTGATGGAAAAAGCACACACCGACTTACAAAAGCACAGCCTTCTAGAAAATGCAGGGCCTAAACTGTACCTTACAACCCAATAGCCCAGGGACAAACGGCCTTACCTTTACTATAACATCACATGTCACTTCTTCCAATTCCATTTGTATATGTTGTCAGGGAAGGTTTGGAAAGGTTCAACAACTTTATTCTTTAAAGTTCCTGTAAATTAATATTTCTCTACAAGAAAACATTTACATATATTACTACACATCTTTTATATCATTTAATGATTTCATTGTAATCTCAGCAGATACTTCATAAAATACATGAAATGTTTGTGGACACTTATGCCTCTTATCCCTCTTGGACATTGACCTTTTTTTATGTGCAAGGGGCATAACCATGTCTTTAAATGCTTGATCCTTCTCAAAACAGATCTTAATCTAGATATTTATATGATTATTCTTTGTACTAAATTTCATTTCATTTTGTTCAACCACTGAAATTTATTGGAAACTGCAAATAATAGGAATTTTTTCAACATCAAGGGGTATAACTCTGTCATAAATTGCTTGATCATTCGAAAAACAACTCTTGACCTAAATATTCTGATAAATCTGTATATCATTTTTTTTCAGTGCATGTATGTGCAAAGAAAATGGACAACAACTTGGTGGACCTACTGATCGACAGACAGCAGCAAAGCAATATGCCCTCCCTCCTTCAAAGGGGGGCATAAAAAATAAAGATTAATGCTTTCAATTCACAAAATTTGGGATAATATGAAATACAGATCATGTCTTTTTTAAATGAGATCATTGACCCTGTTAACAGACAACATACCTACCTGGATACACATGTGCTTGTGGGTTTCACAGACTACACATCATCAAGTCAGTTGCATCATGCATACCTATTTAACAAAAAAATCAGTAGGATAACTTTATCCAAGCATTATAAATTTCTTTGTTTATGAGTCCAAAATAATAGTTTTGAAATGAGATGCAAAAAAATCAAAAGCCTGAAAAACCTCAATGGCGTGGAACAAGAAAAACAATATCAAAAGATCTGAAGTTGGGTCAAATGAGTAACTCCGGTAACATAATAAAATTAAAAAATAGTCTTAACCAAAATACAGTATAAGCCTTATGTCCTGGTTTGAATGAGACAGGGTTCAAATTGACCAGACATCGTCAGAAATGTTCATGCTCAATATCAATCTAATTTCTTTTCAGTCAATCGAAGTCCTATGAAGGGTTTCATAAATTATTCTAATTAATTGCCATTGTCAGAGTATTGTTCTGTTGTATAGTGATTGCATCTAAACTACAACCATGATTCCACTGTTACAAGTACAATAGACTTATGATAGGGCGCGGTAAACAAATGGAGGAAATGGATAAATACAGTAATACGTACTGGATTAACTGGTCAATATTATCAGTTGTTAGAAAAAAATTGGATTTAAGATCGTAAAAGTAAAGCTAAGATTAAGAAATTCAATCTTTATAGTCTTGTTGTATTCTTGTTTATTTTGTAATTATTTTACCGTCTTTAAGATTGTTTGTATTACAGTAATCGATCCCAAAATGTGATTTATGTCATTCGATGCACCCTCTTTGTAGAAATTCATCCGCAACAACCATGTTTTTTTGCGAAAAAATTAAACATAATATTGTTGTTTTGCAGTAGAATTAATTGAAGATACAATTGATTTAATTTCATATTCTGAATTTCAAGCTATTATTCATTGTGAACATTTCAAAGAAATTGGTTTGCGGCTGTTGCTATTTTCTATTGCGGATGCATCCACTGACACATTCGGTCGCGTAAACCTGACTGATCGCTAGATGACAATAGAGCAAGCTTGATGCCATAAAAACCAAAGGCCCATGGGCAACATCGCTCACAATGTTGCCCATGGTAGGCCGTAGCTACACTACCCCAAGATTATTCCTCAAAAGTTTTCAGCTTTTCTGACCCAGTGTTTCTTGAGAAAAAGATTTAAAAAGATTTTTCCTCTATATTTTGATGAAAAACTTTTATTCCCTATTGTGGTCCTGCCTTACCCTGGCGGGGTCATGATTTTAACAATTTAAAACCTACACTATCCCAGAATGCTTCCATATAAGTTTAAGCTTTTCTGGCCCAGTGGTTCTTGAGAAGAAAATTTTTAAATGGCACAACCCTATTTTTAACTTTTCTTTATTATCTCCCCTTGTAAGGGGACTTGGTCCTTTATTTTAACAATTTAAATTTAAATGATGCTTTGTACCAAGTTTGATTAAATTGGCCCAGTGGTTTTTGACAAGTTGAAAATGTGAAAAGTTAATAGACGGATGGGCAGACAGACAAAAGAATGGACAGACAATGGGTGATCAGAAAAACTCGAGCTTTCAGCTCAGGTGAGCTAAAAATTGGATATATATGATAAATTCTCACCAAATTATGTATCAGTGCATGCTTAAATAAAAAATATCTTAAAAGCTTTCTTTAAAGCTATAAGCAAAATACAATTTAAAGATGGAGGTCAAGGTCAAAGGAAAGTGCATGGTCAAAAGTTTCTGATGCAGTTGAATAGCTCCCACTAATATGTATCGGCAAATTATGTTTGATTGATTGATGATTAGTGCTTTAAGCTGTATTGGCAATATTTCAGCCATATTTCAGCAGTATAATATGTTTGATAAAAATATTTTATTTAAAACTGTTCTAAATAATTATCTTAGAAAAAGAGATGTCAATGTCAGTGGAAAGATCAAGGTCAAAAATGTTTATGCAGTTGAAAAGTTCGCATCAGTATATCAACACATGAAGGACTAGAAAACTGACCAGTCAGCAAGGGCCCCGCCATGGGGTAGAATTAAAAGGGTGCAGCTTACAGAATGATTAATAAATGTATGAAGAATAAGCAACACCAACTGTATTCTTAAAATTTTAAGATGATTCCTGAATATTCAAAAACCTGAAAATATCCTTGTATTTACATTAGGCAGTAAAGAACAACTTAACATTGAATGTATATTTAAACAATTATGAAGCTTGTGTTATATAAAATGCCAGCCTTCAATGAATGCAAATATCATGAAGGCTTGACCTAACTTCAAACAAACAGCAGTTGCAGACAAAGGTTTTCATTAATCTTAAAGCGACAGATAAAGAAAAGCCTACTAAATTTTCTGCAGCAGGCTAGATAATTAATCCCAAGGGATTAATTGTACCTCTCTCATCATTTTCTTCTAAATTTACAATAAGAACTTTTTCAGTATCAATGATAGAATGGGGTTTTTATACAACTACATTAAAAATTAATTATATTCTTGAATTAATATATAAAAAAAAGTGAAAAAAGTCAATCAAAAAATCTTCCTTAATCTATTTCTTCTTTTTTAGAATTCAATGAAATCATAAGTTCTATCAAACAAAAATAATAAAAATTTATATTTAAATCCACATTTCAGAGTGTTCATAGCATTCCAAATTGATTTAACTTCAAAACAAACTTCATTTGCAGACAGAGGTGGTAATTAATCTCAATGTGACAGATAAAGATAATGCTCTGGATTTTCTTCAGGAGGAAAGCTAATTAATCCCAAGGGACTCCTAGCAGCATTCAGTTTACAATGGGAACATCTTCAGCAGTTATCTCTCTTTGCCAGTGCATTCTTATATAAAGTTAAGGAATGTACCCCACCACCCCAGCTCCAAACCATGGGACATAGAGAACCAAACTTAGCATCAAAATATGTATTTCTGCCTACTGAACTACCGTACCAAATTTGTACTTGATTGGGCTACCATAAAAAAAGTTGCCCGTTCATTCTTATGCATAGTTAAGGAATCTACCCCACCAACCCAGCTCATAACCAGAAGACATAGAGAACCAAACTTAGCATCAAAATATGTATTTCTGCCTACTGAACTACCATACCAAATTTGAACTTGATTGGGCAACCATAAAAAAAGTTATTAGAAAAAAACAGAAAATTTGTGGACGGAAGAGTGACAGACGGACAGACAGACAGAAAGACAGACAGACAGACGGACGGACAGAGTGATTACTGAAGGGCACCCGCAAATCCTTGCGCGGCCCTAAATATTACCGGTATCAAGATTGAATGTCACTTATTTAAGAAAACTGAGGTCAAGGTCAAAGTAAAGGTCACAGTCAAAAATGTTGATGCATTAAAATAAAAAACATATGAAAATTGATCACACTCTCTTGAATGGTATCTTTAAAACTGAGCTAAACACTAATTTAAGAAAAGTGAGGTCAAAGGAAAGGTGAAGGTCAAAAATTGATGATGCAGTTGCTAAGCTCTCTTCAATATCTCTTAGCATATGAAGTTAGATAAAAAATATCTTACATAGTTTCTTTGAAACCTAGCTTTGAGGTCTCACTCAAGGAAATAATTTGACAATATATTACTATATAGCTTGAATTAAATTGTTTTGATTATCATACTCTTAGCAGATAATTCATGAATGAGAAAATAAAGATTAATGCTTAAACAAAAATTTGAGTTTAGAAAAAAATATGCCTTAAGTGGCTAAGAAAGAAAATTGACAGTAAACATGCCTACCTCAAAATTCATGTGGGTTTCAAATGTTGACAAACAGCATACACACAATCCAGGAAGTTGCTTCTTGAACTCCTGAAAAAGAGTTTCCTTTAATTCAGTGGGCAGGGTTTTCATTAAGTGCCAGCGACCATATACTTATACACTGGCGCCGGTCATTTCACTTTCAAAAATCAGTAAAGAAAATCAATTTGATTTGATTTTTTTTTAAATGCCATTAATTTTTCACTAATTCTTAATTATCTCCCCTTGGAAGTTGACTCCCTTTCACCTAAGGATACTTTGTAGCAAGTTTGGTTGAAATTGGTGCAGCGGCTCTTGAGAAGAAAAAAAAATTTCATCTCTAATTAATGAGCTCTAATTAGCTTGGGAACAAGAAGTTAACTAATTTACAAGGAATTAATCAGCAAAAAAGTGAAAAATCTTAATTCTTAAACAAAGTCAGAGACTTGAAGAAATGGTGTCAAAAGAAACTTCAATATTATACCTTGGAGCTTTCATCAGTGATCACTGATTAATGGCTGATGTTTAAGACAAAGGGCTCTTTAGCAGTGGGGGTGATGAGGCTTTTCTATCAGCATTCAAAGAATGGAGTTTCTCTTAGAAGAAAAGGTAACTCTAAAATAAATAAAGAAAACACAAAAAAGTTTACAATATATAAAAATGTGCACCACTTACAATAGCATATTCTTAATAGCTTATTCTTAGAAAAAGTCTACAAGTATACAGCTAAATAATTATCATGACAAACAAGAGGCCCATGGGCCACATCGCTCATCTGAGAAGCTTTGACCATTCTGTTCTTTAACAAATTTCCCCCTTGTTATACATAATGCATCCCCACCCTATCCCACTGATCATAATTTAGACATTTTGAAATCTACACTATCCCATGATCCTTCCATGGGCACATATGATTCAGCTTTTTTGGCCCAGTGGTTCCTGAGAAGAAGATTTTCAAAGATTGTTCCTAGATATTTCTATGTAAAACTTTGATTCCCTATAATGGCCCCACCCTTCCCCCGGGGGTCATGATTCCTACAATTTAGAATCTACACTACCCCAGAATGCTTCCACATAAGCTTCACTTTTTCAGGCCCAGTGGTTCTTGAGAAGAAGATTTTCAAAGATTTTTCCTATATATTTCTATATAAAATTTGATTCCCCATTGTGGCCCCGCCCTTCCCCCGGGGTCATTATTTGAACAATTTAGAATCTACATTATACCAGGATGCTTCCACATAAGTTTCAGCTTTTCTGGCCCAGTGGTTCTTGAGAAGAAGATTTTTTTTCCTATATAAGATTTTTCCTATATCTTTCTATGTAAAACTTTGATACCCCATTGTGGCCCTGCCCTTAAAACTTTGATTCCCCGGGGGTCATGATGTGAACAATTTAGAATCTACACTATACCAGGATGCTTCCACATAAGTTTCAGCTTTTCTGGCCCAGTGGTTCTTGAGAAGAAGATTTTAAAAGATTTTTCCTATATATTTCTATATAAAACTTTGATTCCCCATTGTGGCCCCGCCCTTCCCCCAGGGGTCATGATGTGAACAATTTAAAATCTACACTACCCCAGGATGCTTCCACATACGTTTCAGCTTTACTGGCCCAGTGGTTCTTGAGAAGAAGATTTTTTAATGACCCAACCCTATTTTTGTCTTTTCTTGATTATCTCCCCTTGCGAGGGGATATGTCCCTTCATTTTAACAATTTAAATTCCCCTTGACCCAAGAATGTTTTGTACCAAGTTTGGTCAAAATTGGCCCATTGGTTCTTGAGAAGAAGTTGAAAATGTGAAAAGTTTACAGACGGACAGACAGACGGACGGACAGACAGACAGACGGACGGACGACAGACAAAATGTGATCAGAAAAGCTCACTTGAGCCTTCGGCTCAGGTGAGCTAAAAAAGGACCAAAATGGTTGCATCAACATCAGTACAAAAAAGAATGTATTCCTTATAACAAAGCTCAGAAGAATATAAGGACCACCAGCCCAGTCCAATTTCCTAGTTCCCATAAGAAGTCTAAGTAAAGAAGAGTTTCAGGACATTTTATGGCCACAGAAAAATGGAATGTTTGCAGTTATATATGTCAAGAGTCGAAGTAGTGAAATCCAGATTCTACCACCCGGGCCAAGTAAGGTCCAGTCAGTAGACATCTACATGGAATCTGTGTCAGATGACCAAAATTCAAAATTATACAAAGTACTTCACCAAGAAAAGACTGCTAAATTGTGGAACAATGCATGTAAAGAACACTCACATAAGTTTCCAGACTGTGATGGTCTACTGGACTTGTATCGGCATGGGGAGGAAAAACGAGGCCTGGCATGGTTCCTTTCCATCTGATGTAAGAACAGCCACTGTACCAGTCTCCGAGAAAAACTTAACAAAGAGGTGAGAAGATCTGGCAGGGAACGAAGAGCTGCACAGATGAATGTGGCCATGGCTGACAGTCACCTAGGTACTTAGTCTTAGAGAGAGTATGTGTGGCATACTTCTTGGTGCAAATATTTTACCAGCGTCAGCCACCAACATGCAACAGACCTGCAACAAAGTGGGGAAAATTATTACCTGTGTAAATTTAAACAGTATGAAGAAAATTAGGCAGAAAATTGAAGAACTTGATGAAAAATGTGGACTTCCTGATTCCCATATCAAAACGGAAGATGATGCTTGATTTAATAATGCCACATTCAGTGCCATTGGAAAACCCCCATTTAAAACTGCCACCCAAGTGACCAAGTGACACCGTTAAGTGAAAATGTAACTCAGAGGTAAAATGTGGTCTAAGTTTTCTGTGGAAATAAACTATGCAAGAAAGGCGCACAGCTACGAAACAAAGGAAGCAGAGAAGATTTGTCTCAGACCTAAAACTTCGATGCAGGACAGAGTACAAGAATTGTTACATACACTATGCTTTAAGTGGCTTTTAAGAAAGAAAATTGACAGCAAACATACCTATCCCGAAATACATGTGGGTTACACATATTGACCAACAGCCTACACACCATCCAGGAAGTTGCATCATGAACTCCTGAAAAAAGAGTTCCCTTTAATTCAGTGGGATAATTCTGCTAAAGATATGATATTTCTAGTACTAGAGTCCATATTCAATACTGTAGGCCTAAAAAAATAGATACCAAAATGAACAAAGAAAAAGAAATTATCTCTTATACATATACAGGGTGTCCCAAAACATATGTTACACTTTTAAACCTTATAAAAATTCAATGCCTCAAGTTACATTAATGAATGTTAGAATATATTTACTTTAATTAGGCCAAAGTTTTTTTTTTGGTTTACATTTTTTTTGACACAAAAATATGCATTGGGCAGTCGAAAAATAAAAATAAAATAATTTGGAACCTTGACATTTTTTTTTCTCCAGTAGCATTGAAATGTATTCAAATAAAAATAATAAACACATAAGATTTTTCGACTTTATTATTTTTTCTTACCATTCAGTTTTATGTCAACAAATATGAATCACACATCAAATGACTCAAAAACAGAAATGGAAGTATCAAGCACTGTTACTGTTGATGGTTTTCATTCATCTGACTTACAAGTCCGAATTTCCATAATAGACACATTGCACTGGGACAAATATGGGTAAAATTCAGTGAATTGGCTATTTTCTGGTCAGTCTTTCTACTTATGAAAAAGTTTTTGAAACTCCGAAAGTGATGGATTGCCTTCACAACAAACTTTCAGCCAGGGACCTACCTAGACCCAAAATTTAAGGAGACATTTCTCCCTCAAAGAAATTTAGGGAGAAGTTTTGAAATTTAGGGAGACTTCTTGATGCACGTATATGGCATACATTTATCGTTACAAAAATATTTCATTGTTTATAACTTACATACATTTCAATAATTTTTCTGTATAAACATTGTATTTAAAATGATTAAACAAGAGAAAAAGAATCTTAAAAGATATTTCCCCCAGTTACAAGGAATATAAATATCTAGAAAAAATAATAAAACAACATTGACATTAAATAAAATTTACTTCAACAACTATTAAAATGTAAAAGTTTCTTATTGTCAGATTAATTGTTTATCATTTTTGTCATTTCTTACATTGCTATCACAATATTAAACTTCTAAAATTTCTCTTCTCGTTAGATTTCCAGGCTATTGGCATAGTCATAATTTTGTTAATTTTTCTTCAAACTGTTTTCAATATAAAATTCTTTTTCTAATAAAAGTTTTGATGCACATCTGCAGGCCGATTGAACTACTTATGTTTATCGGCATGCAGATGTGTGACTTCTTAGGAGGTTAAACTTCACAATTTAATATTAAAAATATGTCTGTATTCACAGCATGAATTAATTATTTGACATGACATCGATAGCTGTCCAGCTGTTTTGCGTTTTGTTTATATAACTTGTAACAATGGACTTTTTCATACCCGGAAGTGTAAAATCTAGAGAAGTTCCTATTTTTTCTCAGTTTGGAATAGGAAACATGTACACAATTTATTTATCTTGACCTAACTGGGAGATTATGACAATTTTGATAACTGCTACATACACTACTCTGGAGACTCACCTTTGAAGAAACTGGCCATTCATACTGGTCTGCTGTCTTTCCTTAGTAAGCTGCTACCTGGGAAAGTGGGGATAATCCAGTCAATGTAATTCCAATTCCTGTATTGGAGTAAAAAACAAGAGGCCCATGGGCCACATTGCTCACCTGAGCACTGTGGCTAGGAAAAAGTAGAAATTGGTTTATTATTTAATAATTTAAATCCAAAAGTAGTCCCAATACCAATCCTGGCTTTGCTATTCTTGATAAGATGATTTTTAAAGAATTTTCATATATATGTCTATGAAAAACTTTGGTCGGCCATTGTGGCCCCGCCCTACCCCCGGGGTCATGATTTGAACAAACTTGAATCTACACTACCTGAGGATGCTTCCATATAAATATGATCAATTAGGGCTTTGTTATTCTTGAGAAGAAGATTTTTAAAAATTTTTCTATATATTTCTATGTAAAACTTTGATCGGCCATTGTGGCCCCGCCCTACACCCGGGGGTCATGATTTGAACAAACTTGAA